TGTGGAGAGAATGTCCAGTGCCTTGGAAGACACAATAAAGATAGATGGCTATCTGGGATTATGGAAGAAATTGTCCCCACTGACCTTTAAGTTTCTAAGTGGATTATCAATGAATTACTCTGGAATGAGGTAATGCGTATTTGTCCTTTCTTTTTAGTACTCACCCTGAATGTATATAATGGTAGTGGAAAATAAACTAGGGGCTTCAGTATTTACTGGAGTCCTCCCGGTAACTCTCTCTTCTGTCTCTTTTCTTAATCCTCGTGCCCCCCCTCAGGACTGTTCGACATATTGGCTGGTTCCGACAAGTGGCACCCGAAACAGGGACCTGAGTACGGGGGACAATCTTGAAGGACACAGCGGAAACTGTGGGACGCGTCGCGTCGGATCAAAAGTAAGGTGTGCGGTGAGTAAAAGCAGCGCGATATCATAAGGATGACCTTTTGAAGGTTGTAGGGGTCGTGCAGGAACCAAACTTGTCCCAGGAGGGATCTCTCAACCTTGAGACTTGGAATAAAGTAGGGGAACGCTTACAGGGGTATTATGATGCCCACGGACCATCTAAGGTGCCGGTGGACACTTTTTCCTTGTGGAATCTAATTAGGGACAGTATTGATCCTTGGCATGAGGGGCTCCGTCAGGAGTGCGAGGAATCGAAAGTAGATTACAAAAGAGAAAATGCACCCGCTCCAATGGAGTTTAAACAGGAGATTTTTGATGAGATTGAAGGTCCGGGAAGGGAGGGTTGGAGGAAGGCTGCCACGGCAGCCCCAGGCGAGATTCAGCTTTAGCGGTGCCTTGGGCCCCACGGGGACCCCCCCGCGGCTGGCTGGCACTCCCCACTGGTGCTGAAGAATGATTAACTCTTTGTTAAAGGAGCCACCTCCTCGACCCTCGCTGCCACTGGCCCAGAGTGCCGGGGCATTTTAAATAACTCTCTGGCAGCCATACTTGCTCCTCTACATTCAGCAACTTAACAAAAATAAGTCTTAAAAGATTTCTCTAACTCTCAGTAACTTTCAAGGTCTTACAGATAGCCTTAAATGTAAGCAGCCTCTTAAAGTTATAAAACCAAGTATAAG